AGCTCATCGCTCACCAAACTCAAGGAGTGCCCTCAAGCCGCGGGCCCTCCTCGACGCAAACACGTCTAGCGTGTCTTGCGGGATGCGGTTCTGCTCCCAGATACAGACGTCAATCGCCTTGAGCTGCGCCAGCGCCCGCTGCGCGTCTGCGGTGCAGGGGCGGGCGAGAGCTGTCACGACGGCGTCCGCGGGCGTGTCCGATCCGAGCCGGGCGAGGACGCTGTTCCACGTCGAAATTTCCATGGGAAGCAGCACGCGCCGCCAGTAGAACCGCGATAACTCGATGTATGACGCAAAGCACTCATACACGCGAAGCAGGCAGGACGGTGATTGCACTTTGTGGTCGCTGAATGCGGGAGTGTAGTTCTCGAGCGGCGTATGGCGTGCGCGCCAAAGGCGCAGCCGCACGGGATGAATATGTGTCCATGGCATTTCTTTGAGCCTGCCGCAGAAATATATCACTTGAACATCTAGTCAAACGACGTACATGCACAAGCGGGGCTCACCGGCCTATGCGGCTCGATTTATGTTCGACCTCAATCCCCAATGCATCGGAGAGCGCTATCAACACGGCGTGCCGGATTTTGACCGACGACTGCATGAGCGCGACGGTGGGATTGTGCACCGGCGGCGTAACATCCTTGCATATGCGCTCGAGAGCCACAATGTCGTTGTTGTCGTCAAGATCAAATAGCTCGAAAGTCCGCGTCGGCGGTGAGCACTTTAAGTCGCCCAGAAGGAGCCGGTCCAGATACTCGGCCACAACGACGCCGCAGGTTTCGTAGAGGATCTCTGGAGGTATCGTCCGAGAAATTTGAGACATGAGGTGAATAGATGAGACAGTGGTCGCAAAGAGGGGACTTGAGTGGGACTCTGAAAATACCGGGGGAGATGTGCATCGCTAAGCGCCTGTATAGCATAACGGACCGCGACACCGAAGCCGCATCCCCGATGCTCTTATTTTTGTTGCAAGACACGCCGAAAAATGATAGATAGCAAGTAGAACGGATGCTGTGACTTGACACGCATCTATAAGTAGCATGCGAATATCCTGATAATTATGTGGTATTTGGAATGTTAGTTGAAGTAACGCCTGAAATTGAAAATCGCCTGAACCTTTGAGGCCACAGTGTGCTCTTGCAAATTCCCTGATACAGTAACGTAAGCCTACATGTCGTCTCTTTCGATTAGCCTTCCCGAAGCGAGCGAACAGGAGAGGGACGCCCTCGTCGACCGGCTCAGGTATGTCCATATGCAGCGCAGTCGTGTAGTATGTAGGAAGCATCTACGGAGGCAGGGTCAGCACGCTATCAAGCACGACCATCATTAATGAAGAGAATGTTACCTGTTCGAAGCCGCAATAGTTTTACAAGCATAGTTGCACAATGATAACGCTTCAAGCACGACCATCATTAAGGAGGAAATGGTTACCGTTCCGAAGCCGCATTGGTTTCACGAGCATGGTTGCACAATGGAAACGCTTCTTCGTTCATGACCGGCTCATAGGTGGCCGGGCCACTGCGGGTAGCGATCGGCCGTCGAAAGTGTATTCTTGATACTCTCGAAAGCGGTATCCGCACGCTTTCCCTTGGTCAAATCTAATAAGAGTCACTCGTCCTCTGGGTCGAAGATTTCGTCTGACAAGGTCAGACGCGGGGCGCATCGTACGACCACAGGCATTTGCAAGAGCGCGGCTACAGAGTGGGAGCTGGCACCGCAGGGTCCTGGTACCGTCCAATCTGAGGTTGAGGGCTCCAAGTACGCGGCGTGGACAAGTCAGTGGCGAGTATCTCAGAGAACCCAAGATCAAACCATTAAAAAAAACTCCGCAGGAACGCCGTCGCAAACGTGGTAAAGGGGTTGGAACGGTAGAGGGAGGACATGCGAGGTGCTGGAGCGTAGTTAGAGCGTGTGTCATTCTGCAAAGCATGGAAAGGAGCGAGTGTAGTAGACACCGCCGGACACAGCCTCCGCGGCGACTATCACAGCTCCCCAGAGACACGGGTTGCCGCCAGCGTACCCGTAGAAGAAAGTTAACGTATACTTGCAATTCCAGCGCATTCTATTCTTGCAATGCACAGCCACCAGAGGCGCGGAGATCGTGCGAAAGTCGAGTCGGATCGGAGAGCGCTCCGGTGGACAGCTGCGTCCAAGAGGTGGGAAGACAGGCTAAATGCTATTCGAATGAGTATTGGGTAAAAGCAGATGGAAGCGATATCTTGATCTCGTAACTAGAACGGCGTCTGACATTCAAACAGTCTCCTGATTCTGCAATGCAGAAAGCCGCTCCAGTATGCCCTCCGACTTAGCCATCCACGACTCCATATTAGATAACTCTTTAGCTTTCCGCCTCATCGCCCTGAAACGAGCAATCAGGTGCGGGATGTTCTTGTCAACCTCAGGCATATCCATGTGTGGCGTAGTGGCGAAACCGGGAAGCAGCTAAGAAGACAAGATCAGAGTGCATTCAAGCATAATCAAGACCGCGGGACAGGGGTTACCTCTTCGAAGCCATAGCAGTCCTGCGAGAATCGTCGCACGCTGGCAGCGCGATGATCATCTTTAAGCCGATCCCAGGCGTCTGGACCAGTCAGCATAGGGATTGCCTCCTGCACGTACACCTTCACCAGCTGCATGAGATGTTTCAGCATTTAGGGGCCGGCAGCGTTACAGGTGCGGGAAGAGGGATACCGAAAAGGTTATTGAAGCAACATCCGCTCCCACACGCTTGATCATGGCGTCACAATCTTCTTCTTCTGTGTTTGGGAAGTGCCGTGGTCCACGGACTTTCCGACTGTTCGGAGGTGCACGCATTAACGGCGGATCACGCGAGTACGCACCATAAGAGTCCAGGAACAACTGCGCTTCCAATCGAGCGTCCATCGGAAATCTAAGCACCTGCTGGCTGATAACAGGAATGTATTCGCTCAGGTTCTCTATGACCCTTAAGGAACGGTAGGTCTCCCGGATGTCGTCAACGCCTCCTGGCTTCGGATCCAGTGCGGAAGTGGCGGAAAGAGGAAAATGCACCTATAGCTCTCAATGAGGAGTGCCATAAGTTCGTATCTTCGTAAGAGAGGAGATAGTGCCTGTAAGGGTAGGATCTCCTTCGGCATGGTGGAACTGGCGGAAGTGGCGTGTCGTGCCTTCCACAAACGCAGTCGAACGAGGTGTATGCGTGTCTAGGGCTTCTCTGATGGTCTGCCCGAGTTTTATTGAGTGAGCAGACGCGGTGCTGAGAAGCTAGGGACCTACGATCCGATCCCTGAAGAATCCAAGGAAATATTCAATGCATCTGATAAGACTAACAGCGCAACATGTCGCACGGTCAAGGACGTTTGCAAGAGGGCGACTACGGGATTTGGAGCTGATATCGCTGGGTCTTGATATTGTTGGAGCGAGCTTGCATTGGCAGGGTTGGTGCCACTTGACGGCGGCGAATATTGCAGAGGCCCGAGGAACAACTTGTCCAAAAGCTCTGCGACAACTCCACCACAGATCTCGTAGACAAGTTCAGGTGACAGTAAACCAGGCATTTAATACGTAAGCAGAGTGTATCGTCGTCCAAGAGAGTGCGATTCTGAAACAATTTATATGAAAAACTGAGTGAATAAATACAGCGCTACCGCTTGGAGTGCTCCACGTACGATTGATCTTCGAAGTTGGGCAACACACGCAAAAAGATATCTCCCCGGGGTTCCGCGGACGAAGAGCTCTTCGAAGCCGGCAGGCGGTGGCAAATGGAGGGTGTGGTCGGGGTCAAGGCAGCGCGGTTCGAAAAACGCGCGGCTACCATCAGCCTTGTGGCGTTCGGCCAACTTCGGCCGCAGCCAATGTACAAGGCGCCAGTCAGTGCCGTAAAGTTAACACGTAAAGCCCTTGCTTAGACACGGCGACCCACGACGGCGGGCTTAGAACCACTGGAATCTTCCACGCCGGTGCATCCCGTTCGCGGAAGAGAAAGGTCGTCAATGGTATTGGAAACGGAGGTAACAGACGTGAATCAATCCAGATCGGACGGGGCTGTCAGTAACATACCCACTCAGCCATGGCCCAGCGACATTTCTCGTTCCTCCATTAGAATCATTATCTTGGCCATGTAGTTTTGGACCTCTTTTTTCCGATGGCGCATCACCGCGCGCACCTGTGCTATAACGGGCGTGTACACCTGTTCATCGTTAGGGTCAACATCGAGCTGCGTGAGCCCTGTCAACATCTGTTTGCACGTAGACGGGGCCAAGACCACGTCCTGTTAGGTGTTAGCGGAGACAATAATCTCACAATGCTTGCCTTCCCAAAGTCGAAGAAGTCTTCCATAGTCAACATGTCGGCATTTCCGTGGAATAAGACCCCATCATACCACGCCTCGAGCGTGTCTAACCATCGTATGAGATCCACGCATGTGTCATATTCACACTATAAAAGCACGATCAGCAATCTGGGGTCGATCTGTGCAGAAGCACACCACATACTTGAAGGGTGGGAGACACAAAGTTTTCTGGAGTCTGTACGAGCCAATCAAGCGAGTACTGAACACGTTCGCATACAATGAAGCCTGTACGAGCGAAGAGCCGTCAGTAATGCCTTTCAGACACAGCACCTGTAAAAGATGGTAACGCACCATACCCCGCAAGCAACACAGTCACAAATAACCGTCCATATGCCAGCTCTCTGAACACCTCTTCCCGGACGACCGGCTTGTAGCGGCACATGTGGTGCATCATCTGCATGAACGGGAACGCGGCGAGGTACGCCTCGATCGCCTTGCGGCGCTCCATCGGGCTCAGCGCACCGTCCGTCACGCCGGGGATCTCGCCCGCGAGGTGTGCGAGCAGGTGCCGGAAGCCCTCGATCGCGAACGCGACGCGCTCGTATGTCTGCAGAAACGGCGCAGCGGAGCACAGCGGCGGGCACACCGCGAGCGGCGTGTGGCGCGTGAACGGCGTGTGCCGCGCCGCCCACAGACGCAGCCGCACCGGCTGGATGCGTGTCCACGGCTTCGCGGCGAGGCTGCGGGCGGGAAGAGACGCGTGAGCACCGCGCGCCGGGGAAAACAAGAAAAAGACACCACGCAATGGAGGCGGACTCACCGGCCGATGCCCGTCTTGTCGAGCGCGATCCCGAGCGCATCTGAGAGCACCATTAGCGCGGCATGCCGCACGCGCACGGACGCCTGCAGTAGCGGCAGCACGGGGTTGGGCGCGGCAGACGCGGGGTCTTCGTATCCCCCTGCTGGGAGGGTCTCACGCCTGTCTTCGCTCGGTGGCGGCGCGCCGTACTTGAGCCGCCCGGCTAGCAGCTCATCGATGTAGTCTGCGATGACGGGGGCGCAGATGTTGTAGAGGAGCTCGAGCGGTGGTGGTGGTTGCATGGAGAGTTTGGGTCGTGCTGCCGTACACGGATGGGGGCGTGATGCGGGCTCTTACGGTGCGAGGCAGCCTTCGCCCAAGACGCGAGAGGGGCGGGGAGCCATCAAACCTTGCTTCCCGCCGAGTTCGGTCCGAAAGCGTTCTTTGGGTCTTCTTACTCGATGGAGGATAGCCTTGCTTGAGCGGCCGACGGCTGCGCAATTTGCCGTTGAGATTGGCATGCGGTTGTGAACAAGCCTGGTAACTACTCCCGTCGCAAGGCTGACCAAGATCCGCGACTGACAAACCCGGTCGAACCTTGCGGCGGAATGTGCGCACTTCGCGTCCAAGTCGAACCGATGCACCGAAGTGGCAAACTGCGACATGAACGTGCTTTCCAAAGAGGCGCACACCGCGATAGTTTAAACCTTACTAACGACAGCACATGCAGAACCCCGAGACTTCGCAACTTGCCTGAAAGTTTAGACGCTCACATTCAACCCCGTTGGCTTCTTCAATACAAACAAATTCGAAACAGCTTTAAGTTGCTATGCAGGTGCACCTCATTTGCGTTTCACAGTTCACGAGTTCAGGGCAGCGTAACAGGTGATCAGGAAGACTAGATGAAATTATAGATAAACATACAGGATACAATACAACAGCAACACAAAGTCCCAAGACAGAAGTTTACTTCGCACCAGCACTGGAGAACTGTGCAGATTGTAATCAGCAACCGCGACACCGAAACACTCTCATATACATACCTTGGTCACCGACTTCGTACCCTCAGAAATGGCGTGCTTGGCCAGCTCACCCGGCAAAATGAGGCGGACAGCAGTCTGGATCTCTCGTGATGAGATCGTCGACTTCTTGGAGTAGGACGCGAGCTCTGTTGCGTCTCGATAAGCGAATGTACGAGTCCCAGAGCAAGATTGACTTACTGGACGCCTCAGTGGCAATGCGCTCAAAGATATCGTTGACGAAGGAGTTAAGAATCGCCATCGCCTTGTTGGAGATACCAGTGTCAGGGTGGACCTGCTTCAAGACTGCATATCGGGTGAGAACCCGTTTCAAGTGCGTTAATCAACGAGCCGCACTCACCCTTGTAGATGTATGAAGAGTAGGTCTCCTTGCGTGTCTTTCGCCTCTTCTTCTTTTCACCGTCAGCACCCGACGCGGCAGGCTTAGAGGTCTTCTTCGCGGCCTTGGCCTCAGTGGTCTTGGCCGGAGCCTTGGACGCAGTGGAAGCAGGAGCCTTGCCGGCAGTGGAGGTGGGTTTGGGTGCCATTGCTAGCGACGAAAGAGGTAAAGTGAACTTAGTGGTAGCGAAGAGTGGTGGTGGTGCTCAGCAGAGGTATGGACGATCGTGGTGTCGGTCCAAGGTGGTATTTATACAGGCGCGTGTCCACAAAGGGTTTGTTTGGCCGACGCGCAAGCACGTGATGTATCGTTGATTGCTGTTAAACAAACAAGTAGGCGCGTGACCTGGCGGCTGCCGAGCTGTCGCGTCGATATAAAGTCAAGCATCGTCCAGCTCGCTGCCCCTCTCATCTCTGCACGCCCCATTGCCCTCGCTCCCAACGTCTACCTCTCTAAACTCTTACACCACAAGCAACAATGTCTGGCAAGGGTTCTGGCAAGTCTAAGTCTGGCAAGGCCGCCACCGAGGCCTCTGGCAAGTCGCAGTCCCGCTCTGCAAAGGCTGGCCTCCAGTTCCCCGTTGGCCGTGTTCACCGTCTCCTCAAAAAGGGCAACTACGCTCAGCGTGTCGGCGCTGGTGCTCCAGGTGTGTAGTAAATCGCTTGTGATCGACCTCGACTGAGCGGGTATAACAGCTTTTTCGACGAAAATGGCGTGCTCGACCAGGAGGGATTTGAGCGGTGGGTTGGCGGTGCGGTTGCGGCGGTCATTGAGGGTAAACACAACTAGTGAGTTGGCTAGTACCGGGCGGAGGTCATAGTACACTTTTGTTTCGAGGCAGCTCGATATGTTGGATGGGTTTGATACCACGCACGCATGTATTTTATCTATCATGACTCCCTTTTATTCACATTCACGAATGTACAATCGCTATCCACGATGCTCTGTCAATGCGAGCATACGCGTGTAACAGACACAGGAGCTAGTTAATGCCTCAACGAAGCCACACGCAATAACTCGCCGACCATCTGATATACATATATGCGCGCGTAGGATAGTACCCGTGTTTTATTATTGAAGGGCTTCAACATTTGAGGAAATAATCACAGCGTTAGACTGCAGAGGTCCTGGATGGAGACCCCGACAGACGAACATTCCTTACTCGTTGACCAAGCCATGACACCACGCGATAGAGTCGAGACCGAAGACAGTCGTACAGTAGAATTATATGAAATATCAAAATAATACATAAATAATACAACAGACCCGAGATTTAAACTTCCTGAGACTCGCCCTTCTTGCCCTTCTGCGTCTTGCTTGGCAAGAGCTGTGGAAGTTGTAAGCGAGAGAACTAAACAAGGCGCAACATTGCAACTTACTGCAGGGTCGATGTGTGGTACGACACCACCTTGTGAGATGACAACGTCACCAAGGAGCTTGTTCAACCTGTAAACACTACAGTCAGGCCCCTTGCAGGACTGGGAAGAGCGGACGGTACTAACTCCTCATCATTGCGGATGGCAAGCTGCAAGTGACGAGGGACAATACGCTGCTTCTTGTTGTCGCGCGCAGCGTTGCCAGCAAGTTCGAGAATCTCAGCTGCCAGGTACTCAAGGACGGCAGCGAGGTAAACTGGAGGGAACGCACGTCGCACCGATGACCGCCCCTTGGACAGCAGGCTCTTGCCGCCCGACGTCGAACGCACAAAGTTAAGTGTGAGTGCGTACGCCGGCGGCGTGTCGGGCTTTGATGGTGTCGACGTCGAGGAGATTGTTACCCGCTCGGTTACGATCTGTTCTCTCGTCAGTCACGGTGACCCCTGGCGGAAGAACAATGAACACGCACCCGCTTATCGAGTGTTTTACGTTTGCCCACAAAGACAATGTCGCCTTCAATGAAATAGGCGTAGAGTGCTTGGAGCACGGTGAGGAGTATGTACCTGAATGCGCGCAAAGTTCAGCGTCTCTGGCGTAGCCACTCGGAGCCGAGCGCGCGGAACTCACAGGATAAGGCCGCCCCATACCACGGGCTTGCTCGTCTCGAACTCGACCTTATAACCGTACAGTCCTGTGCCAGCGGCGACGATAACGCTTGCCCAGCCAAGGCCGAGCCGGACGTCGGCGTGCGTGTATATTTGCTTGAAGAGATCAGGGCGTGAGAGGAACTGTAAGGCACGCGACCAACAAGATAAGTTGCGTCACGGCGGAGTAGTTTATCAGCGGTTGTGGAACACGACGAGCGCGAGGAAGGCAATGCATGGGAGGCGTAGACAATGTCCCGACGCAGGACGCGGAGAGGCAGGACGGTGCTTCTCGGGAGGGTGCATGAGCTGAGAGCACGGTACTCACGCGTTTTAGGGCGTCGTCGCACGCATGCTTCATGTCCGACACGCTTGCGTTGTTCACTTTCACCTCGTCCCGTTCAGCCTCTGCCGTCGGTGTCGTGAGCAGCGTCGATATGCTACTTGACCCTGAACTATTGACGACTTGATTCGACTCGGACACCGGCTCTGGTTCTGAGGCGCCGTCTAGTGTCTTGCGTCCACGCGCGGCCATAGTTTTTAGATAGTAATAAGGTCGAAATAGAGGATATATGCAAAATAGAGTATGAAGGAACAGACAAGGCAGAGGAGAGCCGGACGATATTTTTGGGTGGTTGAGGGAGAGTCAAAGGGGCGACCAACAAGGAAAGCTCAACGTGGCGGCCCTTAGGATCGGTTCGATAGAGTTTGATGATATCACCAGTTCTATTGAGCGTGAAAAGCGAACCGGCCCGCCATTTGTCAATAGTGCTGACTACGCGCATGTGTCGTACGAGCTGGCATCGTCGAAATGGACGAGGACGCCCTTCTTCCTGACGTTCATCTTGTCCTCTGGTGGCCTGCAGATTCTTGATTTGACGACGAGTACAACAATGACGACGAGCAAGACTAAAACCAAGACGCCAAAAGCCAGCGGTAGCTGCCTCAAGAAGTGGTTCTTCCGCCTCATCGCTGCTGCCGTTCTCTACGTGACGTGTCAGTACCTTGACACGATTAAGGTTGGTTTCACATCTATAAGCGTGCTTTGGCGGACTGACACGTTTTTGTGCAGCATCGATGGTACGTCTTCGAGCCTGAGAGCCTACACCAGCTCGCGAAGGCAGCCATTGCGGCCTCGCCAGATCCAAACGATGCCTGGTTCATGGCGAACTACATCGCGAAGAACCTCACGGAGACGTACCCGCAGACTCAAATTGCATTGAATCCGAATCCTTCAGAGTGGGTTTTCAGCAACGCTGGCGGCGCGATGGGTGCGATGTATGTCATCCATGCAAGCATCACCGAGTACCTCATTGTCTTTGGTACTCCGATTGGCACCGAGGGACATACGGGCTTGCACACTGCAGACGACTACTTCAATATCCTTGTCGGCGAGCAGTGGGCGTTCTCGCCGCCGAACCTGCAGATGGAGAGATATCCTGCTGGGTCGGTCCATCACTTGCCGAGGGGCCAGATGAAGCAATACAAGATGCATGAAGGGTGTTTCGCGCTGGAATATGCCAGAGGTATGTCTGGATGTGGGCGCTCCATCTTCGCGCTGCTTATGCTTTGACGCAGGGTGGATCCCTTTGATGCTGCCGTTCGGCCTCGCAGACGTTCTGTTCTCGACGCTTGACTATGTGTCGTTCTATGACACGGCCCGCATCTCGGGCCGCGAGATGTTCAAAAATCTTCTCATTGGAAAAATCTAGATATCAATACATAATGCTCATTTCTTGCTTTCACGCAACAAGACGTGATCCAGCCTCATTCTCAAGAATTTATTCTCGTCTGCTGCCAGGCTGACTTGTGTTGTTCCGACGGCTGCCAGCAGCACTCTAACTGTGTGGTCTGCGCTTCCAAATGTCGATACACGCGGCCCATCGGGAAACACGGCAATCGCTCCCGAGCACCCTCGACCGTTTCAGTTTTCCTCCTCTTGATATCTGCCTTTACTACATATGGGCAGGACATATACCCAAAGGCTGGCGCTCGAGTCTTCGCCGCCAACGCTTCCCGCGAGAAGGCGAACGCCACGAGGCCGATAGGGGAAGATGGATGCGTATTGCGGCAGTTTTGCTACGGAACTCTCGAATTGTGGCTTCCTGTAGCTTGTTGTTGGGTGCAAGGTCGGTGTCCTAGCGAGATACCGTGTTCGTTCGAATTCGAGGTCGACGGTGAGGGGTCTGGGATGGGCCTGGGACTATCTGAGAGCGTTGCAACCGCCATCAAGAGTCAACGGTATGAAACGGTACGTGAAACTATTATGATCGTGCCGCCGAAAATGGACGACAACCTTCTTGCTGTTCGCCTTAGACAGTGTGTAGCTTTTAGGCTCGATGGCGAGTACGGCGACGACGATAAGCAAGACGAAAACAACGACGAAAACGGCCGACGGCAGCTGCCTCAAGAAGTGGCTCTTCCGCTTGACTGCTGTTGCCGTCCTCTACGTGACGTGTCAATATCTCGACACCATCAAGGTCAGTATCGTGTCTATACGCATGCTTTCAGCAAACTAACACGCTTTCGTTTAGCACCGATGGTACGTCTTCGAGCCTGAGAGCCTACACCAGCTCGCGAAGGCAGCCATTGCGGCCTCGCCAGATCCAAACGATACCTGGTTCATGACGAACTACATCGCGAAGAATCTCACCGCGACATACTCGCACACTCAGGCTGCGCTGAACACGAACACTTCAGAGTGGGTTTTCAGCAATGCTGGCGGCGCGATGGGCGCAATGTATGTCATCCATGCAAGCATCACCGAGTACCTCATTGTCTTTGGTACTCCGGTCGGCACCGAGGGACATACAGGTATGCACACTGCAGACGACTACTTCAATATCCTTGTCGGCGAGCATTGGACGTTCTCGCCACCGAACCTTCAGATGGAGAGATATCCTGCTGGGTCGGTCCATTACCTGCCGAGGGGCCAGATGAAGCAATACAAGATGCATGAAGGGTGTTTCGCGCTGGAATATGCCAGAGGTATGCCTGGACGTGAACTCTACGTGTTCGCCTCGCTTATGCTTTGACGCAGGATGGATCCCTCCGATGCTGCCGTTCGGCCTCGCGGACATTCTGTTCTCGACGCTTGACTATGTGTCGTTCTATGACACAGCACGCATTTCGGGCCGCGAGGTGCTCAAGAACCTTCTCGTTGGGAAAATTGAGATGCCAATACTTAGTGCTCATTTCTTGCTTTCTCGTGATAAGACGTGATTCAGTCTCGTTCGCACGAATTTGTTCTCGCTTGCTGCTAGGCTGACTTTTCGCCAGCCGCCTTCAGAGTTCCTGCTTATGAAAAGTAGACTTCAGCTGCCAAAATGAGAAAGGCTCGGGAAACTTCGTGGAGTCCAATAGACTTGAATGGTGTAATCAATGGGCCTTCTGTGACTCGTGCTCACGGCCTACTCCCAGCTCGGCTCCTCGGATTCACTGCCAGTCGCGAATCTGGATGCGGCGAGGGAAGAGCACAGCATGAGTTCTGCGAATGTGCTCATCCTGCTCCAGGAAAACCGCCCCAAC